GGGAATCATGGTTAACTTTTGCAGATGGAACCAACATCAAGTGCTCCTTTCTTCTCTTTCCATGTGAAACCCGGTTCCTCTGTGATGGTAATGACGGCTGTGCTGAGGGCAGTGACGAGGCGCAGGCTCACCGTCTCCTCATCGCCGCACTTGATACTTTGCTCCGTGTAAAGTGTGTCTGTGTGTGTGCGTTTGCACATGTGCGTCTGTGTGCCATGTGCATATAAGGGAAGCATTGTCGAGGGACCAGTGAGCGTCAGGGGGAGAAAGGCACAGAGAAGCAATCCTTCACACATAGACACACATTATGCACCCGAACACAGGCCTACAAAGCAAGGAGGGCATCAGCTGTGACAGAGTTCATATAGATGGGCCGAGGGTTTGGAATGCAGAGAGGAGAGGGTGTGTGTCTGTGTGTGTGTGTGTGTGTGTGTGGGTGGGGGGTTCTCATCTGTATGATAGACCTTAGATGTAAAGAAAGGGACGGTGGGGGAGAAAGAAGACAGCCAGAGGTGTAGACGCAGTCATTGTTTGGATGTCTGGAAACAAAGTGACGTGCTGATGGCTGAGTGATAGCATCATGTGTGGCCAAGGTATGTGATAAGAGGTCATCAAACAACCGTTAACCCCCCCCTCCTCCGGGATTCTGGGATTTGGAGAAGGTGGGCCAGATGTAGATAAAAAATGGTGCCAAACCAGGGAGGGTGCCTACAGAAACTTAGTTTTTCTGGCATTCCTCCATAATGAACGGAGAATCCAGAAATGGACAAAACGGAGTAAATCTTGATGAATCTAAGTAAATGGAGGGCGTGTTTAACAACAGCGAAACTATATCACACTCTCACAACTCCTGCAGTATATGATACAAGTCGTTAATTTAGTCGTGTGCTCACTACTTCTACGTTTTTGGCAAAACGTTGCTATTTTAAACACTTCAGCCACTAACTTCTAATGAGTTTGATGTATTTTAAATAGCAAGAATTTGTTAACAGATGTTTGGATATAGTTTTGCGGTTTTTAAAACTGGCCTCCATTTACTTCAATTCATCAAGACTTATAACGTGTAAGCATCATAAATAAATAAAAAAAACGTCAACTCTGCAGCACTTTATGAAAAAGAAAAGAACATTAAGAGGACTAAAAGAAGGAATCAAGGATGAGTATGATGTTTTTTTATAAAGGTCATTGCATGAATCATTTTTGAGTGGCCTGCTGTTAAACAGTTAAACAACCAAAAGCATTTAGCTTTCCTCCGAGGAAGTCACCTAACACTCTCGCGACTGTGTGTTTTACGGACTCAGGGTGTGCCGGTGTGAGCAAGGTGCTTTCCAATCAGAGAAGTGTCATGGTGAAATAAGAAGGTGAAACTGAAAGCATGGGGTCATATTCACAAACACCCAGCAACATGAAACAGACCATTTAGTCACTCTGAAACAACATAGAATGATTCATAAGTGAGGGTCCAGGCTTAAATAAAGGACAAATAGTATTCCGCAAAAGGGTCAGATGAATGTTCATCGTTAATGGTTTGAAAAACTAAAGCCTCAACACTAACTCCATTAAAGCTTGAAAGAGCAGATATCAGATTTGTCGGCAGGAAAAGGATTATATAGAGATCACTTGAAGTCTAATTGAGCCAATCATGCCC